GTATGTATGTTTCCCCAGATATACATACCTTTGACATACATACATACATACCTCGAGTTTCTAGTATGTATGTTACCCCCCTGGGGTTCTTACTAAGTAGAAACCAGGTACTTATGTATCCAGTCCTGGTTGAGGGGATCTACCCTCGCCTCTCCCAGAACCCGACAACTCACTGTCACGCCTCGACCAGGAGTGATGTACTCAGACCAATATGCACCTCACTGCATCGAATGAATACCTTTTGATGGTGTATGTTTGTGAGAGTTGGTTTAGTGCATGTGTCTGTTTCATAAGTTACTTGGTTGTTTTTTTTGCCACATGGTTGCGCAGAGGCAACATACATTGCCCGGATTTGCCCAGTTGTATCAATGGTAGAAATATACCAAGACTGACAGACTGCGAGATGTTGTCACAAAAAATGACTGAGCACTGCCGTCTGAGGCATATAAACCAGTCCTAACTGGTGAAGCTCCAACTTCTCCGGATGGCCTTAGTGTACATCAGCCCTTAGCGGGTACCATGCCACCGGCGGCAGAGCAGCCACATGGGTGCGCACGAGAATGCTCTGGGATTGCCACGGTCTTGTGCTCCTGGATTAACATCTTGTTGATCTTCGTGCCCTTGGGCATTTATAGCCACATGAAGGAATGGACTCTGGGCACAAATACCAGGAATGGCCATACTTGTGTACCAATTTTTTGGTTCTGCTGAGTTGATTCCATCAACGGATTGGACTGTGTTCGTTTTGCTTGGGGTTAGGTAACGGTTAGGGTTCAGATTTTAAGTCTACCATGTCGCTTTGTTTGAGCATCTGTAGCTGAGGAGTGCTGCAGCTCGATTCTCATGCAATTTTGTGGCCATCGTACCGTTAGCGGCAATCTTGGGTGCGTCCACTGAATGCTTGGCTGCGCACACCGGGCAGATGACCCTTGTCTACAAGCCTCCAAGGGGCTTGGGGGTTGGCGTAAGCAGCTGTACAGGAGCAAACCAACAAGACTCACAGTTCACAAGCGAATTCCATCAGGGTTCTACACATGCGCAGCCATAGTTTGACACTCTGAAGCCCCATTAAGCTTGACTCAGAAGGTCGTTTCAGACTACCACCTATTCTCCGTCCTTTCATTGCTGGAAGTTGTTCTTCCGTTGTCAGACCTGCCAGCCCGACCTGACATGGCCCAGGATAGGTGGGCTCCTCAATGCGACGTTTGGCAATGCCGTGGAGATGATTGTCACCGTGAATGCCATCAAAGCTGGCTTGGTCACGGTGGTGCAGGGCAGTCTCCTAGGTGTGGCGCCAAGAAGACAGAGAGAGAGAGAGAGAGAGAGAGACAGAACGCACAAGACCTGGGAAAATGTTTGTGGAATGTGTCCTACATTGTCCGTGGATGACCTTCAACCATCTTTAACCTTACTTCTTCAACCTTTTTGGAGGATTGGTGTCCGATAAATAAGAAACATATGGAAACAAGTTAACGGTTAGCCTCTATTTTCCAGGGAAGCGGCTCGGACTCAGGTATTGGTGAGTATTGGGAGGTTGGGATGTAGTGGTAGTCAGGTGCACAGCATGCAAAAACATACCCTCTTGATTGAATGTGTTTTGTTCAGGTTCGATTCTCTCCAACATGCTGTTGGTGTTGGGCATGTCCTTCTTCGCGGCCGGCGTGGTCGAAAAAGAGAGCCGCTTTAGTGCGAAGGGGGCCTCGGCCAACATGACTTGCTTGACCCTTGGGTCCATCGCGTTAGCGCTACCGACCATTTACAATTGCATGGAGGACTGGCAGGTTCTGACGTGGCACTGGTTGGACGGCTCGGGGTGAAGACAATGCAGCCTCTCCCAAAGTGACACCGAAACCACAAATATCAGGCAGGTCCCCCTTGCCTTCTACATCAACAGTAGACGTATTATATATATATATACCACTTAGACAAAACGTCAATCCGTCATAGGTCAACTTCTAAGTTACTTTGGGTCTTCTGGGGACTGAGACTTGGAAGAGCCAGATGCTTTGACAGCAGTGCGCTTTCACGCGCCGACCCTCCACGTTCGGGCGCTCGAACCGGCCCTCCACGCCCCACACGGCGACCTGGAGGACACCCCCACGGCAGATGTGCTGAGTATCTCCCGCATTTCCTCCGCGGTGATCGCCGGCGTTTACGTCTTGTTCTTGATCTTCCAGCTATTCACCCATGCCCATCTCTTTGCTGCGGAGGGTGTCTTGGATCAAGACCTCGAGAGGCTTTCCTTCTTTTTCTGATCTTGAGGTGTAGGTGAGTTAATTCTCATTGTGGCCATGCAATAATGAACATGCAAAGGCCATTGGTGCAAATCGGTGCTTGTTCGATTCATTGAGTTTGTTCCAACATCCCTAGGTGAGGAAGAGGAGGAGCTGAACTTGCTTGACGGAATTTGACGGATGTTGCATGTGGGTCCAAACTCAGCTCTTTGCAGACTTTGACACCCACTCAGTCACACAGATTAAGTTAATTAAGCTATATAATTTATTATAATTTATTGCGATCAAATGATGAATGATTCATGATGGTATCAAGTGACATCTCAACTCTTTAACTATGAAGCATGCGTGGGCAAGGTGGCACAGTGCCCTCCAATAGATTTTGGTTGTTGCATAACAGCAGGTTTGATGAATAGCACATTAAGGGGAAAGAAGCGGACGACACAAAGGGCCCAAAGGACAGAAGTCTGACACTACCCTGGTCAAAGGAAATATATTATACGCGAAGTGTGGGTGTTTAAGCTATTCAGACTCTACCAGCCCAAGGGCCGCTTTTGGCAGGTCTCGACGGAGCGCACCTTGTTAAATTTCAGACCCGTCCCAGAGATCGTCACGTTCTATGCATGGGTGTCTACGTTTTCTAACACTATTTTGGCTGCCTGCATTCTTTCACCTGCCACGTTTCCATTGGCAGAAGGGTAACTTGATCGAAATCGGATGGAATTGGTACAAGCAAGCAAGCAAGCAAGCAAGCACGCCCGCAAGCTAGCTCTTGGCCGAGTGGAGGTTCCATTCATGTTGTTTTGATGTTCCTGTATGTTCCTGTTTTCCCTGGAAACTTTACAAAGGATCCGTCAACGCATGCTTTTTTGGGGAGAACACTATCACCACTATCACCACCAGTTCACCCCTTCAAGAGAACACTATCACCTGTCCGCAGGAGGTGCTGATGTCCGCGTGCTCCTCGATCTTGCTCCTCTTGGGCGCCACCATCACCGTGGCCATTTGCTCCGAGTTCCTCGTGGATTCCATCGAGGGCGTCACCGAGGAGTATGGCCTACCAGGCGGTCACCAGTCGGTTGGGGGGCCGGGCAATGACGAGGAAGGGGATGTTGGATCATCTTCTTTGGCACCTGGGAGGTCTCCTGCAAGTTGACCCTCACAAGGGGACCACTCCCATAGGTGGGGGGTGGGGCTGCCCTTCCGCCCGGGCGCTTTGAGCGAGTGGAGCCGCCTCGGAGCGTTCAGGCGCCTTCATTGGCGTCATCCTTCTTCCAATCGTCGGCAACGCGGCCGAGCATGCGACCGCGGTGACGGTGGCGGCCAAAGGAAAGATGGAGCCTGGGCGTTAAAAAGACATGTAAAACAGATGCAGCAGGCGCCTTTGGGAAGAATTCATAAAGACCGAGACCGCATGGAGCCCATGGGGTACTGCCTGCTAAGTAGCATGCATGCTTTTGGAACATTGGCAGTTCAAAGTTAGTGTGAATTAGTTATATACATTCAGTTACATTGAAGTTCCCATTCAATTAAGAAACATGCAAGTGCGCCTTGCAAATTTCAGGATTTACTGTACATCTTTATCAGCCATGGCCACAGAAGATGATAGAGATGGAGAGATGTATAGTGACCGGATAGTTGACCCGATAAATACCAGACAATGGAAGTGCATCAATTACCTTCTTTACTGACTTCACCTTGTCCACACAGCATCACAGTTGTTACAGGACGGCAGAGTAGGATGGATCACTCACTGGTCTAGTCCAATCATGTCAAATCCAGCCTAGTCTAATTAGGGTGTTGCCTACATAACTCATCCTAGCTCCCTCCCCGCAGCACAAGGTTTGATCTGCAGGTTTTTGTGCCATTGACTTTCATCCACATATTATCCACACAAGTATCCACAATACTATTCGCTCCAGGCCACCAACCAGGAAACTTTTCGCAGTCGGTCGCCAGTCTCCCTGAGGACTTGGCGCTGGGTGTGGCGGTCGGTTCTTCGACGCAGATCGCGCTGCTGGTGGTGCCCTTCTCGGTGATCGTCGGCTGGGCCGGGGACGCCCAGGGAGTCGGTCAGAGGGAGGGGGTAGAGTGGGGAGTTTCATCTGGGGAGACCTTTTTGGGGCAGATAGGTCAGATGGTGTCTTCTTTTGAAGGGCAAGCATTGTGAGATCTTGCGGAGCTCTATCTGTGTATCATAAGGTTGACTTGAGAGATGATCAAGCACTGCAGCAGGCTCTTTAGCCCTTCAGTGTTGATGTACTTGCCACATACACCAAAATTACTCTCCCTGAAATAGTCATGGAAGTTGATGGCCCCTTTGATGACTACAGGTGGTGAACTCCACTCCCGTGACTGAAACACACCAACCTCCACCCCCAGGGGGTGTTGACATTCTGCCAGGTCTTTGATGTTCCCATGTCCTTGGATTTCCGGATCTTTGACACGGCGGTGATGATTTTATCGGCTCCTCGGCAGTCGGCTAGCCAGCTCGGGCGAGCGGTTTTGGGGTCGTAGGTGCCTGGTGGCGTGCCAGGGCATTGCAGCCTGAGCATGCTGGAGCATTGCAGCATATGACTTGATGCTGCGATTGTCAAGCTTCTGCGGTCGGTCAACATTCTGCAGTCATTTTAGAGTGCCTCAATTGACGCTGAGGTCTTTATCACCCATACGACGCTTCAAGATGGGCATTCCAACTGGCTGGAAGGACTGTGTCAAGTCAAGTCGCACAACACATCATTACAGACGTGTTCCTTCTTCTAGATGCTTATTGTTGGGAGCATTGTGGCATTTCAACGGCACCAACGGCCCCAAAAGGTTAAGATATTGTAAGCGATCATATATAATAGGGAATCTCGATCTGAGAGTTGCTTGATAGATGGGGTGGAATGATTCAACACGAACTCCAATCAGCCTTGGCCAACTCAAATCAACACTGTTCGGCAGGATCCATCCTGATCGCCATCTACATCTTGATTGCCATCATTTGTTGGTATATTCCCGATACTCACGAGGGACGCCACTGAGGGGCCAAATCCCAACTGATGCCAATGAGGTGCATGGTTGCATAGGTGGCAGATGATGCCTGACGTGCGATCATGATCGGTCAAGCAGATGGCACAACTCCGACATTGAGGTGTTTCCTCTCTTAGACTATGTCCAAGTATGCCCAAGTATAATGAGCGAATGAGCCAGGGCAGGAGACTTGAGTAGGCCGTAGGCCTGCTTCTGGCTACAACTATTCCAACTACCACCCCAAAATTGGCATGCTAGCATATGCACCTCCGCACCAGCCACACCTGGTGCCTCCCGGTCGGGAAGCTCCCTGCCGGGCGGTGTAATGATGCGCTCGACCCACCAGACTCTCTCAGAGAACTCCTTTTTTGCCTCCAGGCCAGCAGATAAGGATCGCTATATACCTATAGCAAAGGAATAACATGACACGACATGGATCAAACACCATCAAATTCGGGGGAAATTGTTCGACATAGACATAGGGGCCAGTTTCCATGAGTTTCCATTGCATGATCATTATGCTTGGCTACCGGTTGCTTAAAAGGGAACCCCGTTCAACTGAATGCGCTCAAGCAAAGACACATTTTGAGGGTGCAATTGACAGGCAAACCGCAGAAGTTAGGATAAGTATATAACTTGAGCAAAGGAATGTGATGATTTTTGCGAGAGGTGGTGGGCAGGCGGATGGTGAATTTGTTGACCCCAATGGCGGGTCAAACGCCACAGTTCGTGCACCTGAGCCAATGAACCTGGTCTTCTTCAGATTCCACGGCAGATGGTCACACTGAGCATAGCACCTGCGACCATGACACTGACCATGACCTTTAATCTCAACACATCGACAGCTATTCCAGGCAAAGAATGCACCCAGTGCAAGAGAAATGGTGCTCGGCTTCAAGAGTGTTTGAAGAAGCCGGATTCAGAAAGATCAGGAAGCTTTCTAGCTCCGTTTCACAGTTTCAGCCTTCGAATCAATATTCCGCTGGATGGAAAAGGAGTCTTTCTTTGTTCGGCATGGACTCCTGCACAGTGCATGGATTGGAACACTCTCATTTGTCCGTTAAGATCATGATCATCCGACCGTCTATGACAAGAAAACATGGAGCGCAGAATTGTCGAAGCGTCCAAGTCAACCGGACAACGACCGAGAAACAGTACAAGGAAAACCTCCGACGCAGTTCTTGGAGTCCTGGAGTTGTGTTGCAGAATGCAGGGACATGCCGAGAAAAACGTAATTTCGAGGAAGTCCAGTCATTGCACTTCTTCAATGTAGTTACATCGCTCTTCTTGAGAAAACCGGCCTCCAACACCATGGACCCTTGGACCCACCATGGACCCACCATGTCCGAAGAGCCCTTCCTCCAGGCCCGGCCGAAGCTCCGGAGGACGCCCTGCGGAAGCTCCGGGCGGCGGCGCAGTCGGCCATCGACTCGGTGACGATGTCCATGATGGGAGGCACCGAAAACCGGTGGAGAGAGATCGGTGGATGCAAGTAGGGAATCGGAGTGTGTTTTTTTTAAAGATGCAATGTAGGGATTAGGCGGAATAGATCGGAATAGGAAATCAATGAACATGTCCTGGAAGCGAATGGTTGTTGAATGTTGGATGAAGAAAGTGGCAGACAGTTGAACCGCTTTGAGCCACTTTAAGCCCAACGCTTGCCCGAAAAAGTGGCATACGAAGGACGGTAGACGGACAGACTTGAAGATCGCATGTGGGCGGGGACGCTCATCAACAGCGGCCTTTGCAAGGAGGCGCTTGGAAGATACGAAGCAGCCATTGAGGACTACGACCTCGCCATTGACCTTGATCCGGACCATGCTGTGGCAATCTACAATCGGGCCAACTGCAAGAAAGCGCTTGGCAGGCACCAGGCGGCCATTGAGGACTACGACATGGCCATCAAGCTGGACCCTGAAGATCCAGCTGCGCTGAGCAAGCGCGGCTTGTGCAAGGCCGCCCTTGGCAGTTACAAGGCGGCCA